GAGCCGGACCCCCTCGAGAAGCCCAAGTCAGTCTCTGCTTTCACTCCTAAAAACATTTACAGCACAATTCGCATTTCTACCAGGACTTCTCTGTTGTATTCAGACGAGAAAAATGCTGTGACCAGTGATACTTAGAATACACTTAGAATCTGTTCATTCAGCCGCGAGCCAAGTGCACATGGCAAGCAAACCCAATACACACGACATGGCAACACAGTGTCAGGGCCAGCTGCGTGTTGTAAATGACCATGGCTGCAAAGCTGGGCTTTGCAGGAATGCTTTGCAGCAATGCCTTGCTGGTACTTTTGCTTGTTTGTATTCAACTTGTGTTTTCTTGTTCCAAAGTAGATTTCTGATAATGGAAATGCAAAACTTGTTTTGTAATGAATTACTGTATCTTGAAACAATTATAAAAAAAATTTAACAAAAATCTACATCAAATGTACCGCTATTCTTGAACTAATGTGATTATTTTCTTCGTGTTTTTTTTTTCTCACAGTCGCCCGAAAACCTCTTTCTCATGGCTGACAAATCCATTCAAGTCCCTGTTCCTCGTCATCTGGAAAAACTACAAGTGGTACATCATCACCGCCCTCCTCCTGCTCATATTCGCCCTCTTCATCGCCCTGCTTTTCTACACATTGCCAGGAGCCATCACAAGCAACCTCATCGGATAGGGAACCTCAGAGACAATGGCTGTGGGCAACTTCACGGTGACCAGAGTATACCAAGAGGATTGTAGCCAGAGCTGTTGACTTTCTACAGGGTTACAAGAGCGCGAGATCACATCGCCTGTTTATAATCCATGGAGCACGGGTGTACACAACTCAAGGGATATGTTGATGATGTTACATTGTAAACATGTCCCACATAATGGCAGCATCTCCCATGGATTTACACATGCACAACTGTTGGGAGGACACTAGAAATGACAAAAAAAACAAGATCCTCTTGAGTTGTGTACCAATCTTGGGAACGTCTTGGCTTCCTGCTACGATATTAAATCAGGTATGTGTGCTTGTAAAGAATACACCACTGTGCAGGTCATCGTGATTGTCCTGTGTAGCCCTGCGATGTCCTTTCGGGTTGCAGTGCATTTTATTCAGCACAATGTCCGATGCATGTGCTGGGAGTTTCGGGAATTTAATTTAATTCTTGAAAAAAACTCTTGAGTTCCTAAAGAAGATTCCCAGCATGTCAAGCGAAATGTTGGACCTCGTGGTGAACAACACACAGTACAACCCGAAACACATTGCAGTGTACAGAATATATCTAAACACAAGAATCTGTTACACTAAGTAACATTTTTTTCTTGGTTCATAAGCCTGTGGTCCTTCGACTCAATGCCGGACCAAATTTTGGTTTTACAGCAGCAAATGTTTAAGCTGGCAAACTATTAACCAATGTCATCTTTCTGAGTCTCATAGCAGATGGTGGCATATTTTACATGCACGCTGTTGGTTTACTTCATGTTACGTACGAGATCCTATCCACTAACATCGGCAACATATGCTTGAACAGGTTCAACTGATGATCAGAGTTAGAAGTGCAAAATCATTTTCAGGGGTTTTCCTCTTAAACAAATGCTGCTGGAGAACTTTGGTCCGGAATTCCTCTCGGATCATTGACCAAAAATCGTATTTTAAGTGGTTAAACAGCACCATTGTCTACATTACATTACATCAATAAATAACATTTATATACCGTATGTGTACATATCGATCAGCAGCTGATTTAGGTTCACTTATTGTAAATTTAGAATAAGGACGTGGTGCATTAAATGTTACTTTTGTATGTGCTGTATTGTAATTCATGTGCACTTTTTTTGCGTGCTGATGGACTAAGTTTCTAGTGAGATGAACTTGTCGCTTAGGGAATAGAGATCCTTCAGCTAGTGTAAATGAAACTTTGGGATTACGGTCTTTATTGTTTTGCCCAAGGTAGCAAGACTGAGATGCCCAAAGTTAATATCCATAGAGGGCTTTGCCTTACACATGTTGATCAAATGTTATTAAACCCTGATGAAAATGTGGATACATCTTCTTGGTTCTTTCGGTAAAGTCACGTAGAATGGAAATAAAATAATAAAAATAAAACGTAATGAAATAAAATTCTCACGACGTTTCGGCCACAACACAAGTAGCCTTCTTCAGGTGAAGGAACAGAACTGTCGGGACGACAGCGCTTCAATGAAAACTGCTAAGCTTGGGCAGCGTCTCTTAAGCTGGGTGGGAGGAGCAGAGTGCCTTGACAAAGGAGTTTACATATCTACAGAAGAATTTAGCATTGAGTGTAAATGTGGTTGGTATTACCTTAGAGTCGCGGCATCTCTTTAGAAAGGTGAGAGACTCGATTAGCTGAGCCTTCTTATCCCGGAGTTTGTTGAACAATTTCAAGGTTATGTGGAATCCCTCCCCGTAGAGGCGGTTAAATTTCGATTTAAAGCTTTCGTGACTGCTTGGATTCATCAAAAAAATGTGTATAGTTTGAGCTTGAATACAGCGTGTGGATGAACACGTATGAGAGCCACTATGTATTTTGTGTGGTCACAAATTACTGGATGATCGTTCACCAAAATAAGCTCTTAAAGTATTTTTTACAGTCCCAACATCGCATAACCATTGTTAAAAAAATTAAAGATTGCAAGTGAATAACTGCTTACGAAAACATAATGCACAGTAACGGATAAACAGTAATTGTTTTGATAAAGTGCCTAAATGCAGCCCACATCTCAAGGTAGTATTAAAACAAAGAACAATAACAATACTCTTTGGTTCTTTCGGTAAATACACGTAGGTAGAAAATTAATAGGTCACAACGTTTTGATCGCAACACTGGCAACCGTCATCAGGTGACTGCAGCAGTTCTCCTGCTGTGTTTGTTTCACCTGATGACGGTTGCTTGTGTTGCGATCGAAACGTCGTGATCTATTAATTTTCTATCTAAGTGACTTTACCGACAGAACCAAAGAGTATGGATTCCTGCAGTCACGAAAGCTTCAAATCAACAATTGCAATAACCAAGGACAAGATTAGGGAAATATAAAAGGCAAAACATTGAGGTAGAAGACAAAGGAATACAAGAGAACTTCAACAAGCCAGGACCGCTAATGAGACACAGAGAAGAAGGCTTTTAGGAGTGCCGGAGTCTTGGAGGCCCAGCACTGATGAGGAAACAACCAAAGGCCACAGGGTTGTACATTTTTTCCACACACCAAATCCAGAGATAATTCCCATTCACCGTAGCTTTATCAAAACTATTCAGTATACTGTGATAATGTTCAACACAAAGTCACTACCATATTTCGTCACAAATCAATGCCACCCGAACACATGCCAATTCCCTGGAATGACAACCCTATCCTACACCAGCCCTATCCGACGACACCCAATCCCAACACCAACCCGCATGAAACTCCAACCGACCCAATCGCACCATGAACTGCGACCGTTTAAACTGCACCGACCATGCCATCTGCCCAAAAGCTACCAGGATAACTCCGATTCTACCTTGGACTAGTGCCGCCAGTGGGTCCCCGAAGAGACCAGCATGATCGGGAGCTCAGTCCCAGCAAGACGATGGGAGAACCCAAGTGGGATCACAACCACGTGCCAGCGTAACTCAAGGACAGCTAACCATGGGACCCCTGGGGCCCGTGAGGCTCACGAGACCTCCAGCCCTGCCAGGAGAACTTCACGGCTCAGCTATAGCAGGTCCCAGGCCAGGCTTGGCACCATCATAGCCCCCGCGAGACTTCCAGCACTGCCAGGAGAACTTCACGGCTCAGCTATAGCAGGTCCCAGGTCAGGCTTGGCACCACCATAGCCCCCGCGAGACTTCCAGCACTGCCAGGAGAACTTCACGGCTCAGCTATAGCAGGTCCCAGGTCAGGCTTGGCACCACCATAGCCCCCGCGAGACTTCCAGCACTGCCAGGAGAACTTCACGGCTCAGCTATAGCAGGTCCCAGGTCAGGCTTGGCACCACCATAGCCCCCGCGAGACTTCCAGCACTGCCAGGAGAACTTCACGGCTCAGCTATAGCAGGTCCCAGGTCAGGCTTGGCACTACCATAGCCCCCGCGAGACCTCCAGCACTGCCAGGGCCCAGCGCCCACGAGCCCGGGAGAGAAGCCGTGGCCCAGTCCCAAGCAGAGGAAAGCAGCAGCAACAACAACAAGGAAAGAGGCCGGAGGCAAGAGGAAGGGCAAACGTTCGCCAGGAGGCATTACGGACAATTGGAACCACTTCGGAAGACCTACTGTTACTTTATTCAAATGCCTTGCTGTGGTATATGTATGATAGTCACGTTTAAACTGCAGCAATATGTAAAAGTATCGCATTATTAGAATGTATAAATGAAAGATTATTAGTTCCTAACACTTACTGTATTCTAGCCTGATGTGCAGATATTTTGTAAATTCAAGCCATAATGGTATTCATAGTGGGTTTTTTAAGTATTCAGAAAATCTCTATTGATACTGTAATTGATTTTTTTTTTAAATAGAATAATATAAACAAAATCGTCATAACATATGCAAAATAATGTTCAATATTGCAGCGTTAAAATAAGAAATAAAGGACACCTATATATGTTAAAAGAGAGGCACGGTGATTTAATGCAACGTGGCAGTTATAAAAGATGTATAATAGCCTCCTGTACATATGAACTGAAACTTACCTGCGATTATCAGGGCAGAGGGTGTTCCATAGAGGAAAATCAAATACTTTATCATTTGCCGTCAAAAATGTGTAAATGACAGTAGTTTGAGGAATGGCCTCGTATCGCAGAGGTTCGAGTGCCGAGCTGGTACCGCCTCATATGCAGAAGGTCGTGGGTTCGATTCCGACCCTGACGACTGCATATGTGGAGTTTTCATGTTCTCCCCATGGTCGTGGGCATTTCTCTCAGGGTCCTCCGGATTTTCCCTCCATATTTAGAAACATGCAATTAGGGTATTTGGCTGCTATAAATTTCCACACTCTAAGCCACTCCATTGTGGCCAGGTCGCTTCTGAAAAATAGCTATATAGCTCAGTGGGCCTTATCTTGTAAAATAATAATAATACAAATTGTGCATAGTTTGATGGCCTTCTGCTGAATGGATTGGCCACCAATGCAATAGACAGCAACCAGCAGGGCCACTCACTCGTCGTCGTAGATTATCATCACAAAGGCCCCAAAATGAGAACACGCAAATAAATAAAACTACGCAAACACGGTCGAGCATGAAGTGGGTCGCTTAAGTATGTGTCGCACACACACGTAGGTGCGAAATGTGTTTTTTTTTTTGGTACAAAGCCATGGGATCCCTTCGAGACAAATTACAATGAAAGCCGACGAAAACACGTGCCCTCAACTTCCAACAAATGCCTGCTGCGCACCTCGGCCTCACGAAGAAACTGATCACGACGTCGGCCCGCTGTTACGCAGCATGCCCCCTGCCACCCTGCCCCTTGCGTTTCACGGTACGCCCTGCCTTTGCTTGAGTGCACGGGGCTGAGCCTCAAAGGCTGAAGTGGCAGGGCAGTGTGTTTGTGTAATGTTGCTCATTTTCAAAGCTTGGGCAGCACTCCGTGGAGATTGCTTTCTTACGCAATGAAAGCGAAAGAGAAGCGGACCTGATGAGGTGTCTTAACAAAACACTCGCTGCTATATAACGGCATCGACAACGGTCGATCGCTTTATGAGCCTTTCCAATCTCCCTGCGCACGCTGTTTCGGATGAAAATCGGAATACATTTTTTGGGCATCCTTTCCGACATCATCATCATCATCATCACCACGTGAGTCTGCTGACTGACAGCACCACCTTGCATTGTGGTGTACATCCAATGGGAGTCTTGGTTCACCTCTGTGGGACACCCTCTGCCCTGTTGCATTAATAACGTCTTAGAGAATGAATAACGTACTACAGAAGAATAACGTGGTACAGAATTAATAACGTCTTACATGTTTAATAGCGGCTATGGTCGTAACCTGGGAGTTTCCCTCCAAAGTGAAAGATTCTGGCCATTTAATGTATACACGTTAATGTTATAACACGCAATTAAACGTAGACATCACTTTATATTCTTCATATTTTTCATTTATATAAATTACATCCAGCACACATTTTGACGATTTTTTTTTACATGTAACTTTTATAACTAGTAATATTTAGATTTTACGTTTAAAAAGGTACGTTTGAATCAAAATGACTACCTGTAATACATTACTACCTGTAATACATTATTTAAATGTAATATTGGTAGATATATCTACTTACGTATAATTTCGGTACGTATTTTACAAAACTTGTAAGAAAAAAACTAATACATGTCCCAATTGATAAAAACAAGTTTAGTTTTTTTAAATATATAATACTATCCTATGTTAAAATATAAATATTATGTGATTGTGTTTCCAGACTGTTGATTTGTATTAACATTTAATAAACGATATTATAGTTTCATGGCATGAGTTTCAAATGTTATGGGTACGCATGTATACATTGGCAGCGCTATATGAATGTAAATGTAGTTGTTCTTTGCTGTAAATATCCGAAAAGTATAAACTCAAGTCCCTTCCTTTGTGAGGGGGCCAAACTATCCCTTTGTAAGTGTCAGACATTGCGCGTAAATGTGGAATGAGTAAACACTGAGACGTCTGTTTATATTGATGGGGGGGGGAGCGCTAGGGCAGAGCCGTGCTTCTCAACGTTATTCACACCACGGCACACACTCGACACTGATGAATGTTCGTGGCACACCGAACAAAAAATCCGTCGTTTCTGGATTTTCTGGCCGCTGTCCGTACGAGGGCGCCACCGCTGCTGCTTCTGTCGCGGTAGAATGCTTTTTAGCACGCTGGGACCTGCACTCGATCAGTCGACGGTTCAAGTCCATCTCCCACCCCAACAGTTGAAACGATGGGAGCATTTTTTTTAAATATTCTCTGTCCAGCCAGCAGTATACATGGGTATATCACAGTTAGTGGGTCAGCATGTAACGTGTGGTTGGTTAAAATCCGGGCACTGCCACCTCTTCAAACTTAGAGTCGGCCAAATACACTCCGCTAGTGGAGGGCCTTCCGCCAGCATTGGCGTTGAGCAAGAACTTACAGGGCTGCACGTCCGATTTAAAGCTTTCGTGACTGCAAGGATTCATCTTCTTTGGTTCTTTCGGAAAAGTAACGTAGAATGAGAATAAAACAATAAAATAACACAATAAAATTCTCACGACGTGAGAATTTTATTGTGAGAATTCTCACGACGTGAGACTTTTTATTGTGTTATTTTATTGTTTTATTCTCATTCTACGTGACTTACCGAAAGAACCAAAGAAGGGCTGCACCTCTTTTGCCCAATTGCACATGGACGATTTGAGAGCGCCGGGGTGAGGTGGGTGCTGACAGCCGTCTGCCGGACTGCACCGCGAGCAATGAAAAGGAGAGGGTAGGGGGGGGGGGGCTGGATCGGCCACTGAACGGCACGGAGGATCGTTCGTCGGTCCCAGCCTTTGAGCAGTGAGGTTCTTTCATAGAAAATCCGAAAATGCAGCGGCGCACCTTGTGACTTTCCTGCGGCACACCGGTTGTAAAGCAGTCACGTGGTGGTCAGCGCAGCGTTGCCCCCATGAAGCTTTTTTTTATCTAACTCGAGGCCAATAACAGTGGCTAATACTTAAACCGGTCCTGTACCTCCTCTAGATGGACTCAGCCTTGAATAGATTCCTCGTGCGGAGTGCGTAATTCGGCAGTGGGGATCCAGGCGTGGTGTTGGCCACCCACCCCTTCGTGCGCCATTCTGGCTTTCATGGGTGCTCGACAAAATGCCCCAAGTCTGTTAATGGCCATTAAACCGCAATTTCCAATAATACTTGAATGGTATCCTTCAATTAACCAGGAGGTTAAATATATGAAATTTTAGGCACGTGAAAACATTACTTGATGAAAATATACGTCTCAAACCGTAGACATACAACCCGTAATAAACCATCGACACATACAGACGGTGCATGTAACAAACATACAGCCAATAAACATAAGTAAGGTTTGGGAAGATGGAACTGAGGCATGACACTGTTGAGATCTGTAACCCCCCCAACCCCCCCCCCCCCCTAATGATTGAGGCAACAAATTCTAGCAAGCAGGGGAAGCACCAGAGGGGTGGTCGTTGAGGGTTCCAGGTAGCACGGCTAAGAAAAAAATTGTATTGTAGTCGGTGGCTGCGGATGTGAGTACGATTTTAGGTTTGCCCTTGGGGTTCGTTTGTCATTGTTTTGTTCGTGCCTATTTGCAGTACGTGGCCACACGCGAGAGACACATTGTGTCTCTCGCGTGTGGCACTGTTCAGAATGAGAGAATTTGCAATATATTAGGCTGTGAGCGTTCCATACATATGTAGTCAATAAATGCCATTGTGCGTCTCAAAAGTGACTGTCCTATTAAATGGGATAACATAATCCTGCCATAGAATTGTATAACACGTTGGCTTTCGCGACCAATATTATTCATAATAAACGTTTTTTCGGGCAATTCTGATGATGCTGGATGTAATTACCAGCGAAACGTCGTACTCAAAAATTGAAAATGTTGTGGATTCACTATTCAACACACCGGTGGGCTAAAGTAGTGAACTATTTGTCTTTTGTCAACGTGACACTTTTTTACTGATTGGCCGTGTCGGGTGGTGGAAGGTTACGACACATTTATAAATAACGCGATCTGACCCAAAAACGTTTATTATGCATAGAATTGTAGACATTCCATTGCCGGCTCAGGGCCATATAATTCAATGAACAGCCATCCCAAAATGTTGTACATTGGGTGAACGCTTTGGGTTATTTTTGTTCTTCCCCCGTACGTTTCCAGAAATCGTGGCGATGAAGAAGGCACTGGTGACCGCCGCCTTCCTGGGTCTCGTCTCCCTGCTCGTGTTCTCTGTTGAGAAAGGAGCAGAGAGCTCCCTGACAGGTGAGCGCAAGAGCGGCCGCTCGTCATCCGCAAACGCGCTCCGCTGGCGCGCGGTCTGTCATTCGACCGCTCGCCCGCTCCGCGCGGAGCGGGGAAAGTTGAACGAGCAGTTCGGTTAAAGCCGACCGACGTTCCCCTGTAGCTTCCGAACCTTGCGGAAGCTCAGCCACTGTTGAATGCAACCCATTCTCGCTGGGCTGTGTTGATAGTCAAGTGGCTTTTACAATGGAGCAACACATCGAATGCTGTCACGTATTGGCACCTGTGTATCCTCCCCCTCCGTTCTCGCATCACACGTGCGTGCATGTGACTTCTCATAGTATTTACATTTCACACATCAACACGTCCAATATGGCATCTTCCAACCATTTCCTGATCGTTTGATTTGGATCTACTACCGTAACATTCTTTATCTCCTGCAAGATCTCGTATGTTATCCGAAGATCTCCGACCCTCTTCTACCGTGAGTTCTATCTTCATCTTAGTTCTCAGCCACAATTCATTCTACTGCTCCTCTTCAAGTACCCGTCCACTACAGCTAAAAGAATCATGCTCCATGACACGATGACGAGATTAGACTTGAGAAGACACTCAACAGACGACACAACTAGGGGCTCTTATTGTTAAACTAAAAACTATTAAACTATTTTTGATTTGACCAGGTAAGGCCCACTGAGCTGTATAAGCTCTTTTTCAGAAGCGACCTGGCCACGAATGATAGCTCAAGAAGTGGCTTATCGTGTGGAAATTTATAGCAGCCAAATACTCTAAACGCACACTCTTTGGTGCTTTCGGTAAAGTCACGTAGGTAGAAAGATAATAGATCACGATGTTTCGATCGCATCACGAGCAATCGTCATCAGGTGGGACAACCACAGCAAAAACAAACTGCTGAAGAGGCCTACGTCAGCAGGTTTTTTTTGCTGTGGTTGTCCCACCTGATGACGATTGCTCGTGTTGCGATCGAAACGTCGTGATCTATTATTTTTCTACCTACGTGACTTGACCGAAAGAACCAAAGAGTATGGATTCCTGCAGTCACGAAAGCTTCAAATTACTCTAAACGCATGTTTCTAAATGTGGGAGGAAAAACCGGAGGACCCGGAAAAAAAATTTCCACGCAACCACGGGGAGAAACACTCAAACTCCACGTATACAGCAGCACGCGTCAGGGTGTGAATCGAACCCGCAGACCTCCTGTATACCAGGCGAGGCAGTTAACATCTCGCCACCGTGGCACCCACTAGCTTGCTTACTTCTGCCGGTCGTTTGGACACCGTGTGCCCTGGCCCTGTGTTCTTCTACCACCTGTTTCTGATGCTGCTGCTGCTGCTGAAAATATAACCTAGTAGCCGTGATGACTCACGACAACGCTTTGCACACAGGCTACCTGGGAAAGCTGGGAGACCCTTTTGTGAACACCGCCGTGCAAGAGGCTCTGCACATGGTCGACAGCGCAATTTTCAACACAGTGAAGAGGTACCGCTCGCCTCCAGTGCATTCCGCTGACGCGTTCACGCGCCGTCGCTCGTGTATGAATGACCAAACCAACGTGCTTCAAAAAGCAACATGCGTTCGCGGCCCACGACAGTAATGGCATAAAATACTTTCGCTCTGGCAGATAATCTCAACAAGCGGTGTTGTCGCGCGCCACGTGTGAAGCACGTACGTGCGTATGCGTGGTCCCCGATACATCATCATCGTCGTCGTCGTGTGAGGAGTGGTTGAGTGGCGGTTTGCGTACTGCGCTACACAAACCTTTAAAGCTGAGTTGTGCTCTACCGGCCTTAATAGGATCCCGCTAACAGCACTTTCCTGGCAGGCTAAAAGGTTCAATGAGGAAATCGCCTCGTTGATGTTTTCACATATATATACTGTATATGCACACTTGGTCAGAACATTCACTTTACTGAGCCTATCGGGTAATTATAATTAACGCGTAATTATAGACACGCATTACGACTTTGCGACTGGTAAAGCCATTATTCATTGTCCTGGGTGTAAAAGTTGAAATTATGTAAATTTGGCGCTGTTTGGGTCGCCAACCTTCATGACATAGATGACATCGTTCATAATAAAGGTTTTTGGGTTAGATGGCGTATTTATAAATGTGTCATAACCCTCCACCACCCGACACGGCCAATCAGCAAAAAAGTGTCACGTTGACAAAAGACAATTAGTTCACTACTTTAGCCCACTGGTGTGTTGAAGAGTAAATCCACAACATTTACAGTTTGAATACGACGTTTCGCTGGTAATTATATCCAGCATCATCGGGCAATTCGCCAGAATTTTGAATACGACGTTTCGCTAGCAATTACATCCAGCATTCTGGCCAGAATTCTGGCGAATTGCCCGATGATGCTGGATGTAATTACCAGCGAAACGTCGTACTCAAAAATTGAAAATGTTGTGGATTCACTCTTCAACACACCGGTGGGCTAAAGTAGTGAACTAATTGTCTTTTGTCAACGAGACACTTTTTTGCTGATTGGCCGTGTCGGGTGGTGGAGGGTTACGACACATTTATAAATAACGCGATCTAACCCAAAAACCTTTATTATGAATAATATTGGTCGCGAAAGCCTGCTACGTGATAAATAGATGACATCAACTGCGGATCCGTTGTTTTGCTTGGTATTTGTTGTTGTTGTTGCCTTCTTACAGGAGCTCCAGTATTAAGAAGAGTCTGACCCCCGTGGAGCTCTTGGCTTTCTTTAAAAGACCTGAGCCAGAGAGTCAGCAGATCAACCGAGCGGCCGAGGTTATGGAAACAACACTGCACCTCATCAAACACAAGGTTCACCAGCGGCACAAGCGCTCTGTCAATGCCACAGGTGCATTACTCTTTCAACGGCCATGCGTCCTCCACTGTAATCTCTCTCTCTATGCGTGCGTCCCATTGATCGGATGTGGCTGTTACAGAATTGTGGCGAAAGAAAATTGACTCACAGTTGGAAGGTTGTGAGGTCAAATTATGGTCATGGTGATCGACTCAATTCTTTCATCCTTCCAGAGTCAATGCAACTGTTTTAAGAAGCCGGAGCTGTGGTTATCGTGTAGACTAGGCCCGACCGTGAGAATGGGAACTTTCCGAATGGGAGGTCAGAGATGCCAGCGGAGATAAGAGCTGCCCCTCATTGCCTCTTTAAGCAGGGAGACATTCTAATCCATAATAGAGGTTTTTTTGGGTTGGATCGCGTAAATATATAAATGTGGCGTTAAAACCCGCTACCACCCGACACAGCCAACTAGTAAGGGTTGTCACGTAAACAGAACATGCCAATTCGTCACGAGTACAGCAGATTGCAAATGTTGTGGTTTGGCTCTCCAACACACCGGTGTGCTGTATGAGTGACGAATTGGTGACGTTTTGTTTACGTGACAACCCTTACTAGTTGGCTGTGTCGGGTGGTGGCGGGTTTAATGACATATTTATATATTTACACGATCTAACCCACAAAAACCTCTATTATGTATGATATTGGTCACGAAAGCCTACGCGTTAAACAGACATTCTAATGTTACAGACTATTGGCCAGAAATTATTTGTCAGTACACTTTGACACAATTGTAATAACTACTTACTGATAAAATAATCTATCAATACAGGTTGGTATTCACTGCCTTGTAGACGACGATGTGGAGCTTTTTGAAATTCATCGTCGCCAGTAGCCATGGTCAATCCACTGCTGAATGAAGGCCTCCCTAAGCCACGGCCACCTCTCCCCGATCCTTCGATGCAACACTCAACATGTCACCTGCACACAAAGCTGATTTCATCACTCCATCTCATCGGTTGACGTCCTGGAAGATTATCTATGTTCCTTGGCCGCCGCTGTGTTATTTATGCTTGACCAAGGGCCTTCTGGCCACGTGTCTTGCCCAAGACGACTCACTTTTGATCTTTTATTTTTTTTACTCGGCAATGAAAATGTGTATTGTCGTTTCGTAGGCTTCGTAGAGCTTCAATACTTAAAACTCTCTGCCCTTCCCCCTATCCCTGAGTCACTAACACCCACGCAGTACCCGTTTGTTTTTACTCTGCCACAAACAAATTATGATTGCGTGTTTACTTGCGAATGGCTAATGCAGTGTTATCCTCCAGTATATGTCAAGTGTTATAACACGGCACAGTCTTTACATATCGTATCAAACGTTTGTGATTACCTCCACTGCTGGAGATTACACACACACAGATGCTAAGCCATCATTCTCAAGGCAGTAAGGATTGTCTTCACGAGACAATGCTCACCTCTCACTAAGTGGTGCTCATTTTACCAGCCCTAAAGAAATGATGATGATGAAGGTGGTGGAATGATCCCCCCGCCTTAGAATGTATTCCGTCTACTGTATTAAATAAGCCTGCAAGCCTACCAGCATTAACATAACTATTTATTTCAATATTCTCTATACTGTAGGAATGGGGGATGGGGGGTGTTAGATATGGGGAGTATAGGGTGATGTCACTATGAACAACAATGGCACGAACAACACTGATGTGTTTGTTAGTGTCACGAACAACACTCATGTGTTTGTTCGTGTCATGAACAACAATGATGTGTTTAAATTTTGATTTAAAGCTTTCGTGACTGCAGTAATTCATATTCTTAGTTCTTTCGGTAAAGTCACGTTGAAGGAAAACAACAAAATAATAAAATATATATATAACAATATATTTTATTATTTTGTTGTTTCCCTTCAACGTGACTTTACCGAAAGAACTAAGAATAATAATGATGTGTTTGTTAGTGTCACGAACAACACTGATGTGTTTGTTCGTGTCATGAACAACAATGATGTTCGTGTCACGAACAACACTGATGTGTTTGTTAGTGTCACGAACAACACTCATGTGTTTGTTCGTGTCACGAACAACACTGATGTGTTCGTTCACGACACGAACAACACTGATGTGTTCGTTCACGACACGAACAACACTGATGTGTTTGTTCTCGTCACGAACAACAATGATGTGTTTGTTGTTCGTGTCTCCCCAAATCTAAGGTGTAAGGCAGGGTGGGGGGGGGGGGGAATTGTTTGTAATGTCAATGTGGGGGGGGGGGGGGGGGGGGGGGGCTGTGCTGGCACCGCCACAGACCTGCTGTCCATGGACGTGCTGCGGACAGTCGCCAGCCTCTCGGGCTGCCGGCCACACCTGCAGACCCCCGCCTGCCCCAACACGTGCCTCGCCAGCAAGTACCGCACCATCAGCGGCATGTGCAACAACAGGTGCAGCCACGACGCACGCGCGCACAATGACCCCCCCCCCACTAGCCCCCCCACTAACCCCCCCCACTAACCCATCCCCCCCCCACTAACCCCCCAGCTAACCTCCCCACTAACCCCTTCACTTACCCCCCCCCACTTACCCCCCCACTAACCACCCCACTAACCCCCCCCACTAACCCCCCTACTAACCACCCCATTAACCCCTCCACTACCCCCCCCACTAACCCCCCCACTAACCCCCCCTAACCCCCCCCCCTCACTAACCACCCCACTAACCCCCCCCCGTTAACCAGCCCAATAACCACCCCACTAACCCCCCCACTAATCCCCCCCCCCCACTAACCCTCCCACTAACCCCCCCACTAACCCACCCCATGGTAGTCTTGCATTGCCTTGGCGGGCGGCAAAGTGCGCTGTGCGGGAGGTGACGGCGCACGGGGTGGTGATGGATGGGACCCTCGCCCCGGTGCAGATGTTTTTACTTTTTAATACGCTGCACCAGACACTCGTTTAATGCCGAGGCAACCTACCGGAGGCTCGGTGGGTGCTTTAGATGTCACTCGCCATTGATGTGAGCTACGGCCAAGCACCCACACAAGACAAAGATGCCCCGTATAGCCCTTTAACAGACTGTCGGGGCAAGTGCTGTTCGCGAGCGCCGATGGAGGCCGTGACGGCACACGAAGGGGGCCGGTGGCCAGCACCACGCCCGACCGCCGTTGTCTCCCCAGTGGCGATGTTTTCTACACACCACACCGCACCGGGTACTCATTTGAGGCGGAGTCGACCTAGGGGAAGGCGCAGGGACCGGCTCAGATAGTCGTCACTGGCGTTGACCGTGAGCAGGAATCGAACTCGCGTGGCCGGGCCTATAGCGCAGTGCCCCTCCCTATAAGCGCTGCACTACCGCTCATAATGCACACAACGCTCCACACACGCGCACTTCAAGGGTTACCAAAGCTACTTCTCCTCCGTCTCCTCCTCTCCACTCTTCTCTCTCTCTGGATCCTTGCACCAGCCTTCATCCCAGGCCACCCAGAATCTACCAGGCTCGGCTCTCTTGCTCAGAAAACCACTAACGTCGATTGGTCGTGAAAAGAGAGTGCTTAACATCTCGATTCAAACGTCCACTCCCCACTTCACGTAACTCTCGCTCTCTCTCTCTCTCTGCCCACTCAGTAGCGCGCATTCGGATTGTTATCGTTGCAATGCGCCTGTTAAAGGTCCTGGGGATATCCTGGTGGCAGTAGAGTTTGCCATTGAGGCAGCAGGTTACAATTGTCTTGTGGCATGAACGTCGCTACGTGTGCCCGATATCAAAGCGTGCCCGCTTCCTGTTTGAAACAAAAGCGTTACCCACACTGCGAATACAATTTGCCGTTTACCTTGTAGGTATCAACCTGAGCTCAATGTCCCGGGCTGTCAAATACAGTATGAGAAATAAGAATAGGCTTTAGCCTACCTTGATTTGAAGCTTTCGTGACTGCAGGAATCCATAGTCTTTGGTTCATTCGGTGAAGTCACGTAGGTATAAAATAAAATAGATCACGACGTTTCGATCGCAACACAAGCAATCGTCATCAGGTGGGACAACTGCTGAAGTAGTTTTTTTTTTCTTGCTGTGGTTGTGTTTATTTTTCTACCTACGTGACTTTACCGAAAGAACCAAAGAGTATTTACCCTTCCTGGCAATAAAAAACCCGTGTTAAGATGTTCACACACCAAATAGACACACCTATTGCAAGGAATCAAGTTGACACGTTGACCACAAGCGCGTGTGGTTAATGCACATCACGTTATAGTCAGCCACACTCTCGTGGTGGCGTCGCTGCAGTGTCGCTGTATGCGTTCTGATCGATGAAATCGATTTTTTATCGTAGTGACGTCAGTAGACGCAGCTGATCGTACGCTGAAATGATTTTATTCACATCAACAATACCTGAAATAATTTCAGACAGCCTGGGACATTCGAACCTTGATGCGTATAGAGCAGTGGTTGCTGAACCTTTACTGCGGCCTCAATCGTAAAAGAAAATGTATAATGTTCTTGGTTCTTTCGGTAAAACTTGGTTCTTTCGAAAACCACAGCAAGAAAATTTCAAATTTTCATGCTGTGGTTTTCACACCTGATGATGATTGCTTGTGTTGCAGTCGAAACGTCGTGATAATTTTATTGTTTTATATTTCTATTATGTTATTGTTTCCCTTCTACGTGGTGACTTTACCGAAAGAACCAAGAATATGAATCCCTGCAGTCACGAAAGCTTTAAATCAAAATTTAAAATGTATAATGTTAATACGTATACAGCGTATAGGTTTGATGAAACAAAGTATTTGTATGTGCCCGTGCTTCATTTACCTTCTAAAACAATCTCACACCCCCGGATAGGGCACCTCGCACCTCCAGGGGACGCGTGCACCCCAGGTTAAGGCATAGAGGGTACATCGGTAGTCGTTTTATGTGGTTGCCTGCTAATGTGGATATTCAAGACGCGAGCACTATCAGCAGCTGACAATTGAAAGCTCATAAGTTCAAAACCTCGGTTGAGGTTTTAACTGAGCTTCGAACTTAAAATATTTAGGCTGTACATTTGACGCCACATCGGAATGTATTCTCTTTTCTTGGCAGATCACGTGCAAATATTAATTGTCAAAGTAATTTATTTATGTGTTGTGAAGCAAGGTGAAGCAACGTGCTATACTCTTTGGTTCTTTCGGTAAAGTCACGTAGGTGAAAAAATATCTAAACATTTATTTACTTCTATTTTTAATGTATTCTTTATTATTTTTTCACCTACGTGACTTTACCGAAAGAACCAAAGAGTATGGATCCTTGCAGTCACGAAAACTTCAAATCTAGAATGTGGCATACATTTAAACTGTCGCCAATATCATCAACATTGTAACGATAAGATATTTCTATAAATCATCTTTCAGACCTTAATTCTCATTTATGCTGTGTTCAACCACCACACTGAAAGTGACAAAAACATCTCTGGTTCTTTCTTCTCACGTTCTTACAACCCCTCTTCAAGAAACAAATAGCCTCTTATCTATGACACCTTCAAAAGTGCTGTCTGTTGATGCCCACTGCAACCCTTTGTGGCCCAGGTGGCTTCTGAAAAAGAAGCTGATATCTCAGTGGGGTTAAACCTGGAAAAATAAAAAAAAATTCGCGTGATTTGTTTACTTTGCGTAAACTTTGCACTCCTACCGCGTTTTTGTATTTTGTTTTATGTTGTAACGTTCTGTCCCGTCCCTACTGGACATTGGTAAAAAAAATAACTTTAAAAGCTCATCCAGTAATAAATAAACATTCTCATTCCGTGCTTCCGCAACTGCGCTATCAAAATGTATTTAACAAAAAAAATGACACTCCTTAACTGCGAAAAGATCTCTCCTCCCCCGCCGCCGATGAAATCCCTCGCGAAGTTGAGTGCTGGGGCCCCCCTAAGGGGCCATCCATTGAGTAGGTACGCAAAAAATCTGTCAAAACTTGACTCCTCCCCCCGTCCCTGTACGCACGCGGACTTTTTACAGCACCCCCCCCCCCCACCACCACTTGTACGTACGCTTGACGCAGCCCCAGAATCCTATAGAACGGCCGATATTTAATCCACGCAGAAACGATCAAGGATTAATAATAATATGAACGTGTTTAAGCAAACAGATAGTCCACCGCCGGACTATCTAACTCATTTGAAGGCCAATGTAGATACATTATTATCGAGGCTTCACCCCCCCCCCCCCCCCCCCACCTCGTTTCCTATGCGTGCATTGTCAGTAGACCCTCCATACGCAAGCGAACGCATTTGGGTTAACCCCCCCCCCCTCCCCTCTCCATGGCGTACGCACTAAACGGATGTCTCCACAGCGGCCCTATTGACGCCACTCCCGACGGGGCGAACCTCTTTCAGGTTCAACCCGCGCTGGGGCTCGACGAACGTGGCGCTGGCTCGCTGGCTACCCGCGGAGTATGAAGACGGCTTCAGCGAGCCCAAGGGCTGGAATCCCGGCCGCCCCTACAACGGCTTTCCTCTGCCCATGGTCAGTGAGCCTTCAATCCGGGCGAGGTGCCCTTTTTTTTTCTTGTTCTGCTTGGTCGAGTAGCGGAGTTATTTCCATCACGGATGGGGTTTGAACCCTGCAGTTTTTGCCCGTCTGCCTAGGGGGCATGTTCAATATGAATTTGCATCACTGCACGTGCGCGCTTGTTTCCCCAACAACTACGCATACGGCCAAGTGGGAAAGCTTCATCCTGGATTGTACGATAAAAATAAGCACCTTCGTCAAATAAGGTTTAGTTTTAATCTTGATTTGAAGCTTTCGTGACTGCAGGAATCCATTCTCTTTGGTTCTTTCGGTAAAGTCACGTAGGTAGAAAAAATAATAGATCACGACGTTTCGATCGCAACACAAGCAATCGTCATCAGGTGAGACAACCACAGCAAAAAAACATTGCTGAAGTAGGCCAGTAAGGTTAAGTTTTGCAGCATTGTAAAACAAAAAAAACATGCAAAGATTAAAGACGTAATTCAAATGGTAAGAACAGTAAGTGGGCTTGGGCATTACACGTCGCTTGAAGGAATTACGGCCGATGGTCAAGAATAGCGATGGAGTGGCAGTCAAAGGACGGAAAGCGCCCGAAAGAATATCCATCTAGGAGATGGAGCGATGGAATCAATTGGCCTCGAGGTCGGCGTTCTTCGTGGCAAGGCCCGCGGGCCACTGACGATCCTTGGTGGCCTTTAGTGTGGCCCTTGACAATAGACAACGAGTGAAAACACCCTCCCATCGTCACCAGCGTGCTGCTGTCAAACCCCCAATGGTTCCAAATGCGTGGCGACCCTCACACCGATGAAGTCTTATCGGCGAAATTGCCCTCCGCCTCCCACCTCTGAAAGTTAATGAAGAACGCTGCTCGAGGTACTGGCTGGATTACTGCATTGCGATACCATGAGAGACGGTGAAACATTGGAGAGGACTTAATTCAGCAGTGGATTGATCACTGCTGATGATGATGCAACAATTATATCAGCATAGAAAATGTGTTACACTGAGTAATCGAACAGCCTAATAATGATAATACTTACATTTATTGAGCGCTTTTCATCAAGGATCTCAAAGCGCTGTACAGAATACACAGTAGCAGCAGACACTCAGCATAAAAAAATAATTGTATTATAAATACATTTTAAGAATCCACTTATCGAATGAACTAAAAGTTTACTAATCTGAAGCGTATAAATAGGTTAAGACGAGATTTTTTTTTAAATGTCCACAGACTCAGAGATCCCTGATATCTCTTGAAAGGGCATTCCATAGCCTGGGTGCTACACGGGAAAAAAAGCTCGGGTCACCCATAGCCAGAAGCCTCCACCTGCCAATCCTTAACTAGTCAATAAAAAAAGCAGTAGAAGATAATCATATGAAAATAAAATAAGGCTTCTTCGCTATTCTATGAAACCTGACCCAGAATATCGAACCACACTGCTCAAAGCGACCCATGCAGAGGAACGGCCGCCCGGATGTCCCCAAAAGGCAATCACCGAGGACTTAATCCAGCAGTGGATTGATCACTGCTGATGATGATGTCGAGTGAGGGCATTAAAGGTTGCGAGTTAAAATCCTGCTCGGCGGGTTGACTCATCCCGCCATCCCTCCGCAGTTGATGAAACAGGAGCAATTGTGCCGGGGAAAAACAAAACAATGGCTGCCGTGTGGAGACACTCAGCTCCCGCCATAAGAATGGGGAATTTTCACCTGCTGGCTCCGGGCCGAGCGCCGCATTAATGCTCATGCGGGCAGTAAATCACTTTAGCGGGTAGGCCGTCGTGTACTGGCATCACTGCCCAACAAATCCCGAAAGTGAAAGCCAAGCCACAACTAAACTGTGGGGAAATAACAATGCCGAGAATGACCACTGTTACGTCCTGCGCTGTAAACATGCTTCGACCGGTCTTCTCGACAAAGGTGGCAATGCCAGCAGCCTCTCTGCTGGGCGTCAAAGCGACCCGTGGCCGCTGCCCGCGCAACCCAACGTGGCACGTCGTGAGGATGCTGCCCGCCCCTCTTCCATCAGGTGCGCACGGTCTCCAACGAGGTGATGAGCACCCGCAGCGGGCAGCTCACGGACGACGATGTCTTCTCGCACATCATCGTCGAGTGGGGGCAGTACGTCGACCACGACTTCGCGCTGACGCCCCAGAGCCTCAGCCAGACGGCGTTCATGAGCGGCCTCAACTGCAAGGAAACGTGCGACAACCGTAACCCCTGCTTCCCCATGAAGGTGCCCCCCCCACCCCCCCACCCCCCACCTAAAGACTGTGCAGCCGGTTCCCACCGTGGTAGCTCCTGCGATGTGTTTTCAAGCGTGTTCGAGGGTGCGAACGAAACGTCGGACATCGTTCCGAACAAACACGCGATATAACCCCAAAGAACACGAAAGACAGCCCCTGACCTCTATCTTTTTCACTGTTACAGCCTCGAATTACTTTGAAACTTCCTATCTTTCAGATTCGGATGGTTGTTCCCGATACCTGTATTTTGCTTTCCATGCAAGCTGGCCTATAATGAATTCGCCCTTCAAGTTCAACCAAACCCCCTTAGTCCAACTCACTGTCAGCCATGTGTATTAAAATAAGACAAAGATCCCCTGCATAGCCTTAACAGACTTTTGCTGTTAGCGAGCACCTGTGAATGCCGGCATGGCACACGAGGGGGTGGGTGGCCGGCACCACGCCCGACCGCCTTTGTCTCCCCAGTGCTCATTTAAGGCTAGGGGAGACCCAGGACCGGTTCAGATAATCGTCACCGGCGTTGGCCGTGAGAGCGGGAAACGAACCCGGGTGGCCGGGTCCCGTGGCGCAGCGCGCCGACAGCTGCGACTCCACGCACACGTGGGGGCCGTTGTTACAACGCGTGCACAATCCACCAATCGACGCCCACTCACAAGCCCGCCCGCCCGCCCGCCCTCGCGCGCGTCACACAGGTGCCGGCGAACGACCCCCGCGTGACGGACCGCGCCTGCCTGCCGTTCTTCCGTTCGTCGCCCGTGTGCGGCACGGGCGAGCAGAGCGCGTGGTTCGGCGCCGTGGGGCCCCTGGCGCCGCGGCAGCAGATCAACGCGCTCACCTCGTTCATCGACGCTTCCACCGTGTACGGCAGCACGCCGGCGGCGGCGCGAGCCCTCCGCGACCTCGACGCCGACGAGGGCCTCATGAAGGCGAACGCGCGCTTCGACGACGGCGGCCGCGAGCTACTGCCCTTCCAGACCACGGGGCTGCCGACGGCGTGCGCGCAGGACCCCGACGACCCGTTCGGCGAGCGCATCGAGTGCTTCGCAGCGGGCGACAACCGCGCCAGCGAGGTGCTCACACTCGCCTCCGTGCACACGCTGTGGGTGCGCGAGCACAACCGCCTGGCGCGGGCGCTGCGGCAGATGAACCCGCACTGGAGCGGGGAGACGACTTACCAGGAGGCGCGCAAGATCGTGGGCGCCCTGCACCAGGTAACGATTAGGCCGCTGTGAGTGTGCACGCGACGATGAGCCGCTTCGTTGAGCTGCCACATGTGGCCCAGGTCGCTTCCAGAGGAAAAAAAAAATGCTCTGTTGCTCAATGAGGGGGGGGGGGTCTTACCTCTGTAAAATAATAATAATTATAAATAAAACAGTTTCTAGTTTTCTGTAGGTGAGCTGCCCGTGCCGGCTTGGGTGGCGGAGGTCGTAGGTCATGCCGCCCAGGCCTGGTGAGAGGGCTACGTAGGGGGCTGCTCGCGCTTCTCACGGGGGTCCTGTCGTCCGCAATTCCGCCCTTTTTATCCTTGGAAAAATGGCAGATATAATATAGGGGTTTTTTTTGTTGTTAGATCGTGTAAATATAAATGTGTTGTTAAACCATGCCACCACCCGACACAGCCAATTAGTAAGGTTTGTCACGTGTCCAACCTATATTATGGATGATCTTGGTCGCGAAAACCTACGTGTTCAATCAAATGGCAGATAATTGGGTGAATTTGCTGGCGTGTCTGGGCGGCGCCTGTTAATGCGGAAATGTTTACAGATTAGAGGATGATTTTGGCACTTCTGGAATGGCCACGTGATTAGTCTGTATACGCAAAACTAAATCTGTGTTGAACAACTGGGCTTCTACTGGGACCATCCCAAAGTGTACAGATGGTAAATGCATCCATTTAGATGATGTGCACACTGTGGATATTGCACGGCACTGGTAAATACCCAGGTAACGATCTATTCAGGCTATACATTCACGCTACACCTGAACGTGTTCTCTTTTCTAAGCAGATCACGCGACAAAATCAATTGTACACATACACGGTGACATTGTCTCCCTTTGCCGCCGCTGCCGCCACCGCTTGCAGATAATCACAATGAGAGACTATTTCCCCAAAATCCTGGGCGAAGTGGCCTTCGAGGAGCATATTGGATCCTTCAAGAGCTACAACCCGGGCATAAACCCCACGGTCTCCAACGTGTTCACCACGGCCGCCTACCGCTTCGGCCACGCCACCATCTCGTCGCAAATCCGCCGTCTCGACGAGAACTTCCAGGAGCACCCGCGGTTCTCCACCATAGATCTGCACGAGGCCTTCTTCTCGCCGTGGAGGATCATCAAGGAAGGTAAGGGGGGCGGTGGAGGTGGTGCGGGTGGACAGTTTACATCCGGGAGATAAATTGCCCGTGACTGTTGGTTCCCGAATGCTCCCAAGTCGCTCCTTGAGATCGGCAAATGATGAACTTTTTGGTGGTTATCTATGGGACCTTTTTGCCAGGATAAAAAATGATGAAAAAGCGTAATGGATTTTACCCTTTCTGACAATGAAACAGGTGTTCAAACACCAAATAGATATATTTTGCAAGGCATCGAGTCTGCATTAACCACACGTACTTGCGGTGAACATGCAAACAAAAACACCCTCTGATAATATTTGCCTTTTGGCGTTCTCTGGTCCGACACTTAACACCTGTTTTGTTGCCAAAAAGGGTAAAACCTATTGTTATGTTTTCATATGCTGTGAATATATATATGTATTGTCTTTGAAACTGATGGCCTACACCAGAGGCAACCTTCTTTATGGCCTTGTCTTACCGGTGTTTGACCAGAGAAAGCCAAAAGGCGGCTATGCGGTCAGATGTCGGACAACATTGTGTGTGTACTGCATGCGCTATTCGGCAGATATCTGTCTCGTGCGGTTTCAGCCTGCGCGCCCTCTTTTGGAATGCATCTACTATCGCATAAAGCGACGTAAACTTGTATCTGTTTGCATCAGCTCATTTTGGAGTTATATCGATTGGCCAATGTTTTCAATGATTATTATCAGAGTATTATTATTTGTAATGGGCCAACCCTTCAAAAGTCCAAATGTACGTAGAAACTGACTTTCCATAAACAGTAGAATGTTTCAAAGTTTCTGACGTTGCATTCTGGGTACCCATGATGCAGTGTGGTATCTTATTTATGAAAGAACAATGTCTGCAAAGTGATGCATTCCTGGACCAAACCTACCTTACTTCAACAGTTTCATGAAATCTAAGCACAACTCAATGCTGTGTCTGCACATATATATTTTAGTCCTGCCTGTTAGCTTTCCAGACCAGTTTCATGAGGCAGCATCTACTTAAGCCGGTAAACTCTGGACCAATTTCGACCTTCTGGGTCTCACCAGCGGAACGATATCCAATTCGTGGACAGCTTCATCACACGGTCACTTTGTGCACCACGACACGGCACTTTTCGATCACCCCCCCCCCTCCTCGCTCGCAAACCGACGCCAACGCCCCCACCATCTTCCACCGCCCACCCCCCTCTGCGTCACCGCAGGAGGGTTGGACCCCCTTCTGCGGGGGCTGCTGGCGCGGCCGGCCAAGCTGTTCGTGGCCGACCAGATGATGACGGAGGAGCTGCGCGACCGGCTCTTTGAGCTCACGGACAAGGTGGCGCTTGACCTCGCGTCGCTCAACCTGCAGCGGGGTCGTGACCACGGCCTCCCAGGTGCCCCCCCCCCCTACCCCTCGCCGCACACCCCCACCCTCCCCCCCCCCCCCCGGCATCATCCGTGACGATGCCACCGGTCGCGCGCCGGGTTGGGAATAGTCCCCTAGTGGATGCTGGGGGCCCTTCTAAGAATGGCCCCCAGCATTGCATTTTAAGGAAAAATTTAAAAGTTAATATGTATATGTCTACAATAGAAGGGTCACATCCGTACTTTAGTAGGACTGACGTTTAAAAGTTTACCCGCACAGGTTCCAAATTTTCACAGGACTCAAGTATGGAGGTAACAAAGCAGAGTAACATAACATACATTCATCGAGCCATTCGTGGGTTATATGACAGATAATACAGTACTGGAGATGTAACTTAACACAACACAGCCATACCTAAATCTCGATTTCAATTAGCCAGTCAAAGCTAAGGCAAGTGTCTGGTGGCCAAAACCCATGACTGACTACCTGGGCAATCGCCCAATTCCTTGGTGGACTGCAAACAATAATTTCCAACTACAGTATCTGGCCTCTCATCCTCCTTTTCAAATCCTGATCACTGTTAACTTAGTCTCATGATCATCGTCGTCATATTCATAATTGCTGCGAATTACACCATCATCATTGTCATCGCCATCATTTTTATCCCATTGGAATTTCTATAATGTACGAATAATCATTGTATTATTTATCCTGGAAAGCCAGACTGAGTCATATGACTCATTTTCATTTTAAGATGTTTTCAGTAAATTAATTGCGAATATTTATTATATAAGTGGGAGGAATCCGGAGCACCCACACACAAGGGGACATACAGATGGAAACAGATGGCGATTAGTTACCTTGCTCTACTGCCTTCTCCCGGTGAACCAGGGTATGGCACCGTGATGCCCAAGGGAAGGGAGTTTCGCAATATTGTGTGATCATCCAACGCTTGCCTCCATAGTGCTGGATTACAGGCGCGCACCACCATAACGAACCCCACCCGTTGGTGTTCACAATTTAGTTGAAAGTCATCGGTGGGAATGCCGATCAGAGGATTTCAGTACAATTGCCGATACAGCCTCCACGTACTTATTTTCTCGTGGAGGTTAACTGGAGAACATACAGTAAACTCACACGTCGAGGGAGCTAACAGCCTAGCGATCATGAGTCCACGTAAGGTAAGGTCGTAACCTACTGTCCACTCTGGCGACATCGCCATCCTGCAACTTGGCAGGCGCTCAAATAGGACCACGCGCGCGCTTGACTCGCAAAAACCTCCGCCACAATTTTTTTTTATTACAATCGCGAAGCACTCTCGCCCGCCTCTCACCCTTGCCGCGTGCCGCATCTCTCCTCCTCGCCATCGTCCAAAGGCTACAACGACTGGCGCCAATTCTGTGGGCTGTCTCGCCTGGAGACGGCCGCCGACCTCTCCAGGGCCATCTCGTCCCCCGACCTGGTGGCCAAGCTCATGGAGCTCTACGGCCACCCCAACAACGTGGACGTTTGGCTCGGCGGGCTGGCCGAGGACCTGCTCCCGGACAGCCGGGTGGGGCCTCTCTTCGCCTGCCTCATCGGGCGCCAGATGAAGGCTCTGAGAGACGGGGACAGGTGCCGCCGCTAGACGCGAATTTCCGTCGACGTTTCTCTGCTGCGAACGCGCGGAGGGCTTTTCGCGGCTGTGCCGTGCGTGTCTCCGACGTGCGTCTCTCCGACGTGGTTCATTTTTGCTGTTGTTGTTCGGGGTCGTAACCGCTTGCGTCGTGTCGTCTGACGTTTCGCTCCACATGCTGGCAGCTTCTTGCGGAGCTGAACTCAATACTTGTCAACCCATATGGTTTACTCCGTATTCTTGTACAGGGAAAGTAAGTTTTCAGGTCCATACGGCGCACAGCCGTTTCAATACGGGCAAAAAACAAAAAGTATATTTCATATTCTTAGTTTTTTCGGTAAAGTCACGTTGAAGAGAAACAACAAAATAACAAAATATATATAAAACAATAAAAAACTAAGAATATGAATTACTGCAGTCACGAAAGCTTTAAATCAAAATCTAAATCAAAAAGTATATTTGTTTGCGTTTCTCCCTTGTAATGGGACTTTGTAGGATGAACATTGAGATTTATAGGGGGGCACGGGGTGAGCAATAAGGTCTGAATTGGTCTGCAACAAGGTGGGCACTGATAACGGGTTGACAGGTATGTGACCTGAAGCTAAACTAAGTGGGCCTTGCCTCGTAGAAAAGAAAAGAGTATGTGTGTATGTTGAACTGCTTTTGCACCGTACGAAGCCAACCGTGATAATCGGGTTGTGCGGGGGAAGGACAAGCAAGTAGATGTAGATCAAGATCAAGTTACTCTCCTCCCATGCGTGTGTGCATGCGTGCGTGCGTGCGTCTCCTTTAGGTTCTGGTGGGAGAACCCGGGCGTGTTTACTCCCGCCCAGCGCACGGAGCTGAGCCGCCACTCACTGTCGCGCGTCGTCTGCGACAACTCCGGCCTCACCGAGGTCCCCGTGGACGCCTTCATCCTGGGCAGGTATCCCGCCGACTTCGTCTCGTGCTCAAGCTTGCCGGCGCTCGACCTCCAAGCCTGGCAAGAGAGGCCGACAGGTACCGGCGGCGTCGCGAGCGTCCGACTCGTTGCCCGCAGTCGAGCGGCTGACGACGCCCAAAAGTCGGACCGACTCCCCTGGCGGTCCTCGCCGAAGGAATGTGGAATCCGTTCGCTTTTGTTGTTCGTTCCGTCACCGAGTTAGGGTCACCGGGAGGGATGAGCACTGCCCGCGCACCCGTTGGAGCAGGGAGACAACCTGACTCCACTGACTCTGACCTGCACTGCTCCTCAGTCATGAGTCGCGCTACTCACCCCACACACACACAAACACACCCCATTCCTAACACTAAACTATAATCTATTTTTACACGCTTTTATTTAACTCACTCTGTCTGTTGTTGTTGTTGTATCCTCAAATCTTGTAACTCAATTTTTACCCACTTCCTAATGTGGTATCGACTGCACACTTGGTATACTTATGTCATACTGACGACAATACTATATTCTATCATAAAAAAACATATAAAAACATATATTTTAAAACATTATTGTTTATATGTTATGTTTCGGCTTGGCTCCAATTGTCCACGGTCAACTGACATTAGCTTTAAAACACCAAGGTCCCCTTATGTTATGGCAAGCTTCGGGGCCACTTCCTGGAGTCGTGGAGTTCTTCCATTACTAGTACGGTACATTTCATTAAAGCGTGTTTAAAAAAAGTATTTTAAATGAAACTTATTATTTTACCAGGTAAGGCCCACTGAGCTACATAGCTCTTTTCAGAAGCGACCTGGCCGCAAATGAAGTGGCACATGATGTCGAAATTTAGAGCGGCCAAATACACGAAACGCACGTTTCTAAATGTGAAGGGAAAATCCGGAGGACCTGGAGAAAAATCCACGTGACTACGGGGAAAACGTGCAAACTTCACATATACAAGTGTCAGGGTCGGTATCGAATCAACAACTTCCTGTGTACCAGGCGAGGCACTTAACATCTCACCACCGCGGCACCCATCTCCTGTAGCGTGGCGGCCAAAACGGGTGGTGTGAATTCCACTTTCCTTTGGCTGGGACCATTCAAAGATAATGATGCGTACACTCTCTGTCTTTACTTGTGGAAATCTCTTCCGAGTATTTGGACTTTTAAAAAAAGGCCCTGAGTTGGGCAAAGTATTGTACTTTGTTTGTGTCATGTGATTATGTCGCGTGCGGGCGATAGTGGTTAGTGCACTGCACTGTGAACCTGGCATTAGACATGGGTAATATCAGTGACGAGTGACAGCTGCCCCAGTTGTGGGTCTCCTCCAGGTCGGCTCAACCCTAATATATGTTGAACTTCTGTCGCACCGCACGTAACCAACCGTGCTAATCAAAGGTGCGGGGGAAAGGACAACAAACTCGATGCTTGAATCAGTACTTGGTGCGGTGTGTAAATATTATCATCGGGGGAGACAAAGGCGACTGAGCGTGGTGGCTCCACCGCACCTCCCCCCCACTCGCGCCACGCACGTGCCTGAGCAGGCGGTCGCTAGCGGCGCTTGCCCCCGCCGTCTCCGACGCTACACTGTGGGGATCTTCATCCTCGTCCGTGACTGCGTGCAGTGGGGCGCTGCGGGGAGCCACCCAGCATCCAGAACGGAGGCTTCGTCCTGTGTGCCAGTGGTGGGGAGCCCCAGGTGTCGTACATGTGTCACAGTGGCTACAGACTCACAGCCCCCGCCGACGTCACGTGCACCTTCCAGGGCTGGAGCAGCCCGCCGCCCACGTGTGACGGTGAGAACACGACGGCATACCGCTGACGACACGCCGCCGGTCGCGTTCACCATCGTCATCGCCGCCACCACCACCACCACCGACGCCGCCACAGTTTTCCCAATGGTGATTAGCACCGTAACCGTCATCACAATCATTTTCATGATCATCATTAGCACCACCAACATCATCGTCACCACCACCACCACCACCGCCACTATGCTTTTCCCCATTGTGATTAGCACCGCAACCATCACTATCATTTTCACAATAATTTTCATCGTCACTGTGGGTGCGCGAGGGCTGGTGGACCGCACAAATGTTGCGACATTTCCTTCCCGTGGTCGTCGAGGTGCCATATCCTGGCTCGCCAGGAGGAGGCGCTGCAGCAAATGTGGACGAATACCATCTGTTCCATCTGCATGGAATAGAGTGTTGCCCCCTCGCACACATGTGGGTTTTCTCAGGGTGCTCCGATTTCCTCACACGTGTATGAACATTGATCAGTAATCGGCTGAAGTTACATTCATCTGTGCGTCTCCGTGTGTTTGAGTGCGCAGCGTTGTGTGATGCAGTCAAAAAAATTAGGCTACTATATAATAAACGGATATTATTCTCATTATCGTAAACGCCATCATTATTGTTACTATGATCACCATCGCCGCCAACGTCAATAACATCATATCACCAGTTTAATGGCTTCAAGACCCCTTGGTGCCATTCATAAGATGAGAATGTTGTGTGTGAACACCACAACCCAAATCTGGTTCACAACCTAAATTAAAAGTTCCGAAAAAATAAGCGGTTAAACAACAACAACAACAAAATTAGATACCTATGGTTACTGACCCAATCTCAGTGAGCCCTCTCATGGTTACATAACCGCCTCATAAACGATTGCTAAAGCGAACAGAGGATGCCGAGTAAATGCAGTAACTTCGACGCGAAGGACGATGTTACGTTATCCAACAGAGAACGGGCCGCGTGAAATGCTTTGCTTGACGAGCCTTTCTCTACAAACGCACTCACAAAAAGCGTCACACCCTCCGGGGCAATTCGGCTCCCGATTCCAACGCCCGGCCCGTGACCCACGGGCGGCACGTCACGCTCATCCTCGCTCCGCTGGTGCGTCTCCTTCGGCGTCGAAAAACAAACTTCCTAAAGAGGCTTCTCGTGAAGAACATTGCCAGCGCGAGTGACGAGGCTGGGCCGAAGGAAGGCACTTAACAAGTCACCCCCCCCCAGACCCCCCTGCCCCCCCTCCCCCCTTCTTAACAAGCCAATACGCTGACGCCATCGATTGATCTGATCATCGATTCTCTTTGTGAAACCCATGATCACGCGATGGACGCAGCACCTCCAATATCTATGTATGTTGTATGTATGTTGGACTTCTTTCGCACCCTACGTAGCCAACCGCGCTAATCGTAGGTGAGAAAATGGCCCCAGGCATCTCTGGCGGCGAGCAGTTCCGTACGACAATTCGCAATTGTAGCGTCGTCGAATTGTACACGCCTGCTTCGAGGCGCGTCATCGTCCGCCAGGATCTATCCACGGCTGGATGAATGCCGCCCCAAGCCATTGCGTCCCGCAAGACCGCACGATGCAACAATCCGTCTCGCAGCTTGCACACGAGCTGACCTCAACGCTGCACCTCCATATAAAAGCGGTTGTCCCAACTTTGGCCGCCGCAACTCAATCGTCTCAGCCACTTACGGCGATGTCTCACACCCACGGTCCGGCGACCATATTCACAAAAAAAAAAAATGTGTTAGACCGCAGCTTGCGTCGGCAGCGTGAGTGAGCAAATATTGCGAAGCAAAGCGTGAGCTCCCCCATCGGCGCCCATGGCGTTAAGGATCACGATGACCACGACGTAGACGCCGCCGTTCATTCTGCCTGCCCCCCCCCCTTCCCCCCGTCTTACAGACGTTGACGAGTGCTCCGACGAGACGACGCCGCCGCCGTGCCACGCCTCGGCCTCATGCGTCAACACGGACGGCGGCTTCGAGTGCGCGTGCACGGACCCCTACGTCCTCGCCGACGATCGCAGGACCTGCATCGGTGAGCGGGCGCCCTCTCAGCCACCCAACCCCGCGGTCGCTCGCTCGCTCGCTCGCACGCACGCTCGCACGCACGGAGAGAAACGCGTCAGTCACCCCCTGCCGTGGCCAATTTGTTCCATTGGTTCTCTGGGTCTGCACGTACGAAGCGCATCTTCTTTCGTATGGGTTAATAGCAGCAGATTAGAGATGTCATTTTTTTGTTTGTTTTTGTTTTATTTGTTATCCACTCGAGCGGAGTGGAACTCGTCCGTTCCTCCTTTAGAGGAGTGAAGGCAGCAGCTTCGTGTTTACCACGTGGTCGACGGTTTGGGATTCGTGGCCGCACTCTCAGGCCCGCTGAATCTTTGGTGTGACATTTGTGCATCGAATAAGTACGCATATGCGTGTAGATTGAACTTGTTTCGCACCGTGCATGCCTAACCGTGCTAATCGGAGGTGCATGAGAAGGAAGGACAACAAACTAAACACAAAAAGCAGTTCTAAAGAAATTAGTTTTCAATCAACTGCATAGCTCCTAATATTGGCAGGAAGAGCGTTCCAGACGGCTGCAGAAGCGCGCGATGCGGTGACCACCGTTCGATGGTGAGCCAAAAAGCCGCTGCTGCGAGGATGACCGGAGTTCGCCCAGATCAATACGGTTTAGTTCCACAGCGTACTGGCTTTCGAGAAGCAAATGTCACGAAGCGGTGTTTCGTTTAAAGCAAGCAAACTCCGGACTTTGTTTAGGACCTTCTGAGTCCCATCAGCGGCGCCAAATCTTGCCAAACAAATGCTGCTGAATTGCCAGACGCTATTGGGAGGAGCACTCCGGATGTTGTTCAACTGAAAAGTCAACACCGCGCACAAAATCCATGATGCATTGACGTGGAGCATTTGTTCGGTCATTGAAAATATAAGCAGAACTTGAATAATAAAGTATTAAAGCTTTCGTGACTGCATAAAAAAATACTCATTGTTTTTTTCGGTAAAGTCACGTATGTAGAAATACAATAAAATTACATTAAAACAAAACACAATCACGATGTTTTTTGTTTTAATATAATTTTATTGTATTTCTACATACCTCACTTTACAGAACTTGAATGTTGCAACGGAGTGGGGGGCTCCGCTTACCTTTGGTGTGTTCCATTGTTGGTAATAGAGGAATGAAAGTAAACGTTCACCTCAATGTGTGCTGGGCCCATCGTGTCAGAACTTGTCAGTCGTGTCGATTCTGCTTAGCCGGGTGAGAACTCGAGAGAACAGGATGAGTCTCGTTTGCGAAAGTGACCGCTGCAGTAATAAAGTAACCATACGACAAGGCAGCAGCGACTTTGATTTCGACAGAATAAAGACCAAACAAAGTAATCCTATACAGGGAAATTTACGTAAATATATTACAGCGTATACAGTCAGTGCATTCAATCATAATTCATTAAAAATGGAAGATTTTTTTATGCACATGGAGATACAAATTAATTCTGCTTGTGTTAACCTTGCAGAAACTGGACATGTGAAGTGTGTGCGTAGCGGT